TTTTTAAATATGTTTAAAATATGTTAAAAATTTACATAATTTGCAATTATATACTATAAAATATCTCCCCCTCCAACAACTGCTTTATATATACTATAAAATATCAATTGATCTTTTTAAATTTAACGAGTGTCTTTATTTTGTAGTACTAAATACAGTCAAAAGTCGTTAATTCGGACACCCGTAATCCGGAATGATCTATAATCCGGACCTCAAAGCTAAAATCTTTCTGCGCATGCGCCGCAGTGACGCATGCGCATAGGCGTTTTACTCGTGTGCACAAGACATTTACGACTGCGCATATGCATCTGCGCAAGTGCAGAATACGTTTTCGCGTGCGCGTTTAATGTATGACGGACGGTATAAGCTAAAATTATCTAATTATCTATTTCAGTTAATGTTGATAATTGCGTTGTTCCTTAATCTTCAAATTGGATCCGGCTTATTATTTTTTGCAGACTGTAAGAGCAATTTTCTAAAAGTAAGCTTGAACTTTCGATTATGTCAAATAGAATTTCCGATGCTGGAGCTCCCAAAGGTTCTAGAAAACGAAAGTATGTTTCGATGTCCATCAAACAAAAAACGAATTGCTACAAAAAATGAATAAAAGCATATCCTTTGTTTATCTAACCGTTCCGAAATCTGTTTATCAATTTCACACTGCTCTGCGCGGGGGGGGGGGGGGGGGGGGGGGGGCACGTCGCTGCGCGCAATGAACTGGAAGTTGATCTGTCAACACTATCGTTATCTTCAGGGCAGATGTTTTTATTTTAGTCGGCTTATAATTCCTTACTAAATGTAGTATTTAATTTCGATGTACTCGTCTTTGATATGATTTAAATCAAATTCCTCGTCATTATAAATATCACGAATACAAATCACATAGTTTTCTGGTTGCAATTTTCTAATTTCGGCTATGAGTAAGGTATGCTTTACGCATCCGCGCGTTAAAAGAAATGTTTAATAAAGTAAACAAATAAATATTAGGCTTCTTTTTTGGTAAATTTGGATACCCTTTAGATCATAATTGCTCATTATTTTATAAATTACGGTTTCATATTTTTAGTTTTATAATTTCTGCATGCCATCTTACCAGATTAAAACTGATGATCTATAATCCGGAAAAATCGATAATCCGGAATCGCCGAAGTCCCGACGAGTCCGGATTAAAGACTTTTGACTGTATTTATAATATTTTTTGCTTTATTCTATAAGGAATATATGTTTTTATTTTCTAGGTCTAAACAACTGCTCAACATTTCATTTTAAAATTCATTCAAACACTTATTTTGGTACTTCCATGGCACAACCACCTTAAGTAAAAGTTGCCAAATTTTCACAATATGTCATACTGTGTCAATCACATAAATATCATTTCTTCACCAATCATATGCAAAACTTTCTTCAGTTTGTGACTAAGTATCACCACTACCTTCACATGCTTAGTTGTTTTTGGGAGGCATTCCAAGTTCTTACAGTTTTTACAGACTTTTTTAAAAATTATTTGTCTTAAACTCTATTTTAAAATATGTGCTTACTATGGAAGGAACTGAGTAAAATTTCTCTTTGAATGCAGTATTTTGCTACAAAATCACACAAAACAGAACAACTGCTTTGAATCTATTTTTAAAGTAACTGCCATGAAATTTCTACCAAACTAAAAATTTTAGAAAAAGCAGTTTTATTGATAGACTCTTAAAAATAAACATTTAATTAAAACCCAAAATATATATGTAATCATATGTTGGTATATAATAAATAATTTTTGCAATTACAATTCATCATTTTTTTCTTCTGGGGGGATGGATGGTGGCACATTTAATTATGGCAAAGCACACTAATGCTATCTGCATAAGGGGAGTGATGCCTTCATGGATGACTTTGTAAGGAAAACTGTCTCGTATACATATTACACATGGGGAAAACCACAAAAATGCCCATGCAGCCAGCCTGTTCGCGGGATTCGAACCTCGGACCGAGCTACCAGTGTTCAGCGACTTTACCGCTTGGCAGCTGGTAGGCCGGGGGAGGGGGGAATTCACTCGATTGTGTCCAGGTTGCTGCACTAATACATCAATAGCCTTACTTTCTTTTAGAGCTAAATGTATTTTGTAGTGATAAAACACTTGTTCCTTATTTTATCTTAAAATTAATTATTGTCTTTATTTTCCAGCAAAAAAATTTACCTAATATTTGATTTTAAAGTAATGTGTCTATGTTGTATTAGTAAACACTTGTTCAATACATTATTTTTAAATTAATAAATATTTTCATTTTTAATGCTAAATGCATGTCCAATATTTTATTTTAAAATTAATAAACATCTTAAAGTATGTTAGTTTTGGTATTAACTTTAGTTCTTAGATTTATTTTGATTTTTTGTTTTGTGATAACAAAACATCATTTGCTTTGAGATTTTTGTACACCGAAAATCCCGTCGACCACAAGAAACGGCGCCAAACGAAAAAAACACATTTACTAAATACAAGAAAAAACCTTCTGTACTTATTTTTCTTTCAAATATATTATATTATCATTTATTAGTTCAAAGCAGTTTTGTTCCTGAAGGACTATTGTTTTCGTTTTTCGATTTTGTGTTGAATCACTATAAATGTCCGTTTCACTTTTCAAACTGTTGCCAATAAATGTTACAGTCCTGCATTATATTTGAAGAAATTAAATAATGAAAAATCTGCATAAATGTATGTATATTTCTCGCATTGTGATAAACGACAGTACATATAGCCATCAAATTTTGAATGACATAATTCTTCTACGAATATGGGCATGTGGAAGACCAAATTTGAAATTTGTTTTATTATCGATTTCATATTTTGTAAAACTTTAACGAATTTTTGAGCAACAAACTCAACGATTTAAAAGCGAGCAATGGCAATACTCTATGGGGGGAACTTTTTTATCTCCACCATGCGGAACTGTGTATCGGAAATTCTAAAGGTATGCTCATTTTAAAATTATTTTGCTACATTGCTATTGAACTGAATTTTATGATTTAAAGAACATGATATTTAATAAATAAAGGTAACACACAAAATGTTAGAAAAACACCCCTTTGGACGTACTTTAAAATATGAAACCTTTCAGATTTTTTTTAAATTTATTTTTTTTATATTTAATTTTTCATTAAAAATTTCCATTATTTTTTATTAAGGAGATATACTGTAAAAGCAATTATTTCATCTTATGGAATTAGTTATGGGATAGCTTTGGAAATATTCAACAGCATGCTTTTTTGTAGTAGGCAGGGCCCAAATTTAAGGTTTTTTTTTTTTTTTTTTTAATGCGTGATAGAGGGTTAAAATGGAGTCTTTACTCAAGAATAAAAACTAACACGTTTAATAAACGTTACACCAAACCCAGCACGTTTGAAAAAGACTTTTCCATGTTTGGCGAAAAATCGCATAGTTTGGCGTCTTTTCTTTAATAGGCAAAAATGGTTGACGGTATTTTCCGTTAAGTACTGAGATTTTTCAGTTTCATAAAAGTTTGAAAAGTTTACAACAAAGATACACAAAAGCTTGATTAAGAAAGAATTTAAAATTTTCAGTTTAACAACTCTTGAAGTATGCAGAGATGGTCACAAAAGTATTAATACCATTTGTTGTAATAATATTTTTTATCTAAAGTTTCAAGAAAAGAAATTTTTATATTCAAATAATATTTCAGCACAAAATTTAAAAAAAAAGATTTTTAAAGAATTTTAACACTCAATGATTTCTTGCCTTAATTTTTTTAGCACAGAACTCAAAATAATTATTAATGAACTGAAGGATTGCTAAGAAAAGGGGGGAGAAAAAAGAGAGAGATTTCTCTGTTATACTCATTTTAAGTTATTTTGTTAGAAACGAATCCTATAATTTACGCATTTGATAAATATAAGTTTTGTAACCTTAGATACTTATTTTTTTTTTATTTGGATATATTTAATTGATAAATGAGCTAAATAAAGAAGTAGCACTTTTCAGTCACTGAGGAACTAGCCCTAACTGTGCCCAAAGTGCTGAACATGGTAATTTGTTTATTTAAATATATAAGGAGCCATGCACTGACTTCATAATGAATCAGTGAGAAGACTGAACATAATTCAATAATTCTCCCTCAAAGGTTTTTTAACTCCTTTTTTGTGGAGGTGCAAACTTTTTGGCAAAAGGAAGGAATCAATATGGATAATATATATTGACAATTGACAAATGATGAACTGTCTTCTGGGACATGTATACTACAAATATTGAAAGACTGCTCAAAAACATTAAAAATGCAATAGATTTTATACCTACTGAAACTGAAATGGTGCTTAAACAAAACACACTATCACAAGAAAAAAGCTTGACAAAGAGAAAGCTTATCTGAAATACATTCCCTTTTCCAACAATGATTTGGTTTATGTACTTTGGGTATCAAAAAGAGCTCAAATCCATAGAACTTTGATAATTACAATTAGGAATCACTGCACAATTCTTGGTTAGAGGAGAAATGTGATTTTGCTTCATGGTAAAATATTTGAATTTTATTTGGCAGATCTTAGTTTGATCCTCTAAGGTCGTTCACCAACTTCAGTAGAAGCCATCAACCCAGTGGACAGTAGAAGCTTGCACTGAGGGACATTTAATCTTTCAAATTTGCCACAAGATAACAGGAATAAGTAAAATGGACAGGGTAACCATATTCTGATCCAAATATCTGTATACTATTAGAAGTGTATTTTTGCTTGGTAGTGAAATGTTGAATCCTATGCAATAGATTCCAGTTTGATCCCTAATATTATTTAACACTTTCAAAACAATAGGAATTTGTGTCACCCACTTAAGAATGGCACCTGCAACAGATGTAATTAAATAATCATTATTTCTCATGGAGATGTATTACAGATCTCATGGAGACCATTAGCATTACCACTGCCATCTTTTCTTATATTTTGTGCAGAATTTGCACCTACTACCAAGTGATGTTGCATTAACCAAAAAAGTACCAAAACAGATTTAAAGTTTCGTTTTAATTTTTACCTCAATGATGAATATGGTCAGTAGAGTAATACTGCAGAATGAAAAAGCTTCTTTGGCTTTTTTGATTCTCGGGCTGACATTTTCGTTTGGCATAATAGAAGAATTTTGACTACAGTTGACAGTCTTTGGCTTCCATTCGGGATCTAGAAGAAAATAAGCCAGTTTTCAGAACACAAATCTTAAACATATAAATAAATCAGTTTTACTTTACAGCAAACAGGTAGTTTGTTTAATTTTATGGAAATAATTTAAAATCGGCACAACTGCTGCCAATTTCGACGCATTTCTGCAGGTGACAGATCCATTGCTGAAACTAGTACTAACAATAATTTTATTTTCAATTAGTGATTTCAAAATTGATCTGATTATATGACCTTAGTCCTCAAAGCTTTCTTAAGCCTGAATTTTCAAGAAAACGTAAAATCAACTATCGCCAGATCACACAATGATCTAAGAAAATTAATTTTGAATACCATTCCATTAATTCAGAGTTTTAGCTACAGCATTTTCAGCATCCTACATAATAAATATATTAATATTCCAAATCCTTATTTAATTAATATTGCAATATTTTTACCATTTTCAATGTATGATAAATGCAAAATACATGTAACAAATAAATAATTCAAAAATTTATGTGTCTTTTGTAAGGCTTTCTCACAAATGATATTATTGTACTTTTCACAAATATTTTCGATAGACAAGAGTGCAAAAAAATTCAACTTGAGTCACACAAAAACCTGAAACAAATAGAAAAACTCCTTTTTGCTTGAAATTAATAACAACGAAATTGTCAAAAAATTTGTACTGTGACTTAGGATAAATAGCTTGTGAATATACAAAGCAACTTTTTCTGTTTCCGCTTTTAACAGAATCTTGTGAAGTCATCTCTTCCATATTAAAAGCAAACTGATGTCTGCTTACTAAAACTTCAGCTGTCATTTGTGTTACAAAAAGTTGCAAATTTTTATGTTTTAGCTGCTAATCAGCTTCTAACCATCTTTTCAAAATTAAAAATGAATCGGTGTACCATTCTTCACATTGATCTGTTGAAACCATCACATCACTGACAAAAGTGTTTGCTTAAACAGACTTTTTAGACACAGAGTTTGCTGTTAACAGCTTTCATGGAGCTACAGGAACTTTGATGGAATGTTTATGACTGAACATTCATTACTTTCATTGAATATTACTGGGTTTGAATACAAGTTAAAAACACTTTTGCAAAATCTCAACCCCAACCCAGAGTGTTTTTAAGTCTATTATCTTTCTAGTGAGTCAAAAGCTTTTCCACATATTTTAAAATTTAAAGTGACTATAAGATTTCCAATCAGAGTATTCACCCCATGCTTAATAATACAGCTCCATATTTGAGTATTTCATTCTCACTACTTCACTGCATCTTCATTTCTCTTCAGAACAATTTTATTACTAACTTCCAAAAATAGTTACAATAGGCAGTTGCTTGTTTACCTATACTTGGAGACAGGCTTTATTTTGAAATGCATATTTTTAATATTAAAATATGAAAGAGACCTTGTGCACAAATTACCTTGCACAACATTCAGATCCACTAGTAATTCAGACAGAACTACTACTCCTTCGGTGAAGACGAATATCACAATGACAACATTGCAGACCCGGCTATTAAGTGCTGTCCATATTTTCTCACATATTCTGAAAATATTTAACACCAATTATATAATAACATATTTAATACTTCAAAAATACCAAAATTAAATATAAAAAATCCAAACTATTTTGTTACAAGGCTCTATCACAAATGAATATAATATATTAGAAACATCTATATTAAGGCACTTGTTTGTTATCTGATACTAACTGATACACTGAGACCAATCAATTGGAGCCTTTTGGTGATGAAATCTGGTTTTTTGATTTCCTGATGGTATTGTTCATCAGTTGCACACAAAATGGAACCAAACATATTGTTATTTCCTACAATTTGTACGTGTCTCCATATGAACTCTAGTAAGTAAGAAAATACTAACTCATGATGAGTTGTACAACACTGCCACTTATTCCTCTATTTTTCTGAACCCCCCCCCATACATTCCAATGTTTGCATATTTACGTCAATCTAATATTGAAGTTGAGGATAAAATAAAAAAATAAATTAACTAACCCTACCTCATTATCTCCCCCCCCCTACAAAAAAGGGAGAGTGGAAGAAAATATTAACAAGAAACGAAAAATAAATAAAAATATTATTGTAGATGTATCTGGAACAGCTTCTAGGATTACCAAATGCCTGCAGGAATCAAAATCATAGGCAGTAATTTTGACAATATATTGGCAGATAGGGGATAACCAACAAGTGTCTTTATTAATTATATAATGCTGCAAATGTTCATGAAAATTACCAGTCTCTATATGCTAAAATTAAAATAAAGATTTAAATCATTAAAAAGTTTATTTGCTGTTTCTCAGTTGCTCAGTTAATTAACCAGGTATAATTTTTAAAGGTAAACTGAAGATTTTATATTTCATCAAATGGCAAATCGTAGGCACTACATATTTAGCTATATTTAAAGAACTGTAAATTAATGACAGAGTTGCTAGGAGAAAATTCGAAGCAAATCAACACAAAATTCAACTTTAGATGATTGATGTTACTTTATAGAAGTATCTGATGCATTACAAGGAAATCTGATGGTTTTTCTCTCTCTTCCTTTGATATTCTAAAAATGCATAATACAATTAATTCCAGCATTGCAGTTTATTAGAACGCCTTTTTTTATTTTCCTTTCTTCTCATGTCAAATCTTGTTACTTTACTAAAGAAAATAACAGTTTCTATTTTTATGTTTTTCATGCTCTTAATGTTTGCTTTGCCATCGAATTTTGAATAACGTAGTCCTCCACTCATGCACGTGCACCTGGAAGCCCAAACTTAAATAAATTCTGAATTTGTTTTAATACTTATTTGCCATTTTGTAAAACTTTAAGAAATTCTTAATTAACAAACTCAACAATTTGAAAGTGAGCAGTGGCAACATTTCAACAAAATAACATTATAAATAAAACATTTTTATCTCCAGCATGCAAGACTGTTGCCATTCAGAAAAATGTAAGAAATTTATTTTATTAGAATGTAAATTTTAATTAACAAACTCAGCTCTAAAAAAGCATTGTGTTGCCACTGGCCAAAAATAAAATACTCCTATCTTCCATGCCCTGGTGTGTTGTCATTCTGTAAAGCCTAAGATACTTTCAAACTTAATCTGGAAGTTTATTGAGTGATAAACAGTTCTTAATATTTTTTCTACTTTTTAATGGGATTGATTTAAATAAACATGTGTTAAAATTATGAGATGTCTAATTAGAAATACTCAATATTTTTATTAAATTACACTAGCTCGATTCATTAAAATCATTATATACAGTACAAAGTCTTTAATCCAGACTTGTCGGGACTTCGGCAATTCCGGATTAGGGATTTTTCTGGATTATAGATCATCAATTTAAATCTGGTAAGATCGCATGCAGAAATTATAAAATTAAAAATATGAAACCATAATTTATGAAATAAAGAGCAATTATGATCTAAAGGGTATAAAAATTTACAAAAAAAAAAAAGCTTAATATTTATTTGTTTACTTTATTAAACGTTTCTTTCAATGCAAGTTGTTTAAGTTGCTTCATTTTTTGTGCTAATACTTTCTCTTTAATTCTATAAACAGACATAATTTCTTCTTCAGTTACAAAGTTCCACTGTTCAAGTCCTGTAATTGCTGTGTCGAGAATACCGACTCACTTCTCAATCAAAATGTTTTCGTTTTCAATAACCTCTCTGTCACTTTCTTCACTATCGGAAGCGGTACATCAAAACATGCTTTCGCTTTGTAGATCCTTTGGCACCTCCAGAATCGGAAACTCTTTTTGACATAATCGAAAGTTCAAGCTTATTTTTTATAAAATTGCTCTAACAGTCTGCAAAAAAATAATAAGTCGGATACAATTAGAAGATTAAGGACAACGCAATCTGCAACATTAACTGAAATAGATAATTAGATAGTTTTAGCCTAGCTTATACCGTCCGTTATACATTAAACGTGGATGCGTAAACGTATTATGCGCATGCATAAAGGTATTATGCACATGAGTAGAAAGTTTGTAGTTTTGAGGTCCGGATAATAGATCATTCCGGATTATGGACGTTCGTATTAAAGATTTTGTACTGTACTTTTTTTTATGATAACTATTTTAAGCAGCTCACCTATGTGGGCCGCCAGTTAAAAAAAATAATATTGCAAACATAAAAGTATGTATGGCAACCTCTAACACTCCACTGAGAATTCCAAAGATATGCTGTTTTTAAATATTTTGTGTTTTTTTTTTTTTTTTTTTTTTTTTTTTTTTTTTTTTTTTTTTTTTGCACAATTTGAATTTTACTTGGCATAAGTGTGAATAATGCAATATTTAATAAATAAAATTAATATATATAAATTTAATAATAAAAAGACAAAAAAATTTTTGCCACTTATCTTAAGAAAACTGAATACTGTTATGATGAACTGAGAAAAGGCTGAAAAATATATAAAAATGTTATGCTAACGCTTAACACTGCATTGGAAATTCTAAACATATGCTACTATGCAGCTTTAAAAATTTGTGGTTTTGTTGTTTAACTTTATGTGGCATAAAGTGTGAAGAAAACAAAGCCTAATAATAAAGCTAAAGAGACAAAAAGAAAATGGTGGGTTAACAGGAGTGAATGCAAGAGCAGAAAGGTAAAGTGCGAGCTCAGCAAAAGCAAAAATGACTTAACAAATCCTTCTCAGCAATTTCCAAAATCTCAAAACTTTCATATTTTATTTATTTATTTAAATTTCTTTCCATTTCCTTTCACTGCAACCTGTTTTATTTACCTGATTTTGCATCATTACTGTAAGCATTGTGTTTTAGGCAAAATGTTGCAAAACAATTTTGCCCTTTTTTCTTTTACACGAAGAAAAGACATTTCTTCATATACTTTTGAAACGCACATAACTTTTCTACAAAAAAAACTAATGCAAATTTGAACTTTTTTCATAAAATTTAAAAGATAATGTCTGATATGTTTAAAAAAAACTTCTATTACTTTCTTACATAAATAATTAAAAAAGCAAGCATTCTTCAGAATGATATAACAAATGCATTAAGTATTTTTATTACCTCTGTGTTTCATCCAATTCCGGCGTAGTCGTCCCTCCACTAAATCCCCAAATGACAGAATCAGTATTCCTCATCAGTTCTTCTTTGCTAATAAAATTATGTTGCCATCACATAGAAATTACATATTAAATTTTTTTAAATGCAACAACAGGATGACAATACTTTTTTTACGACAGAAACAGGATGAGGGTTAATCATGAGAAAGAAAGAAGACAGAAAATATTTTACAACAAAAAACACACAGAACTTGTCATTTCAGTAACAGAACTTATCATATACAAATTTAGATACACTGTTAAATGAATTATATTTCATCACAATAGCATCATGATATTTTTTTGATTGGAATTATGCAACAGATTTTTGCATTAAAATTTAACATATATTTTGAACTTTCTCCATTGGCCACATTCTGTTCATAACAGAAAATCTTTTTTTCAGTAAGAACTCTACTTTTTGAAAATATCAGCTCTAAAATCCTGCAACAAATTTTAAAAATCGCAGCAAGTTTCTCTTATTTACTTACTTTCTATAGCCATTTATAGAGCACAATAACTTGTGATAGCTTAGTAAAAGCACATTTATAGCTTTTATAAAAAATGGAACAAAGCTGATACTCTTATAAAAGTAACTGGCCAATCGTAAAATGATGAAAAAAATGTAAATATGGCAAGCCTATGTAATAAAGATATAAATAAAATATATACAGTCAAAAGTCGTTAATCTGGACTCGTCGGGACTTCGGCGATTCCGGATTATTGATTTTTCCGGATTTTAGATCATCGGTTTAAATCTGGTAAGATGGCATGCAGAAATTACAAAATTAAAAATATGAAACAGTAATTTATGAAATAATATAATGACGAGGAACTTGTTTTAAATCATATCAAAGACGGAGTACATCGAGATGAAATACTACATTTGGTAAGGAATTATAAGCCAAATAAAATAAAAACATCTGCCCTGAAGATAAGTGCCTGAAGATAATATGCCCTGAAGATAGTGCTGACAAATTAACTTCTAATTAATTGCAGGCTGCGGAGTAACCGTAATTTATGAAATAATATAATGACCAGGAACTTGTTTTAAATCATATCAAAGACTGAGGATGAAATACTACATTTGGTAAGGAATTATAAGCCAAATAAAATAAAAACATCTGCCCTGAAGATAAGGATAGTGCTGACAAATTAACTTCTAATTAATTGCAGGCTGCGGCGTCCCCCCCCCACCGAGCAGTGTGAAATTGATAAACAGATTTCGGATTTCGAAACATACTTTCGCTTTAGATGCTTTACATATTAACAAATATATATCGGAAATTCTATTTGATATAATCGAAAGTTCAAGCTTACTTTTATAAAATTGCTCTAACAGTCTGCAAAAAATAATAATCCGGATCCAATTCGAAGATTTAGAAACAACACAATCTGCAACATTAACTGAATTAGATAATTTTAGCTCCGTCCGTTATACATTAAACGCGCATGTGTAAATGTTTTATGAGCATGCGCACAAGCATATTCGCAGCCGTAAAGGTCTTACGCACGCACGTAAACGCCGCAATGCACGCGCAGAAAGTTTGTAGCTTTGAGGTCCGGATTATGGGTGTCCGAATTAACAACTTTTGACTGTATTTAAAAACATTTTTAATTTACATACTTTTAGTAAAAAAAGTTAATTAAGTGCAAAAAAGTAAAAAATTACTTTTTCTAGCTACCACATCATTCACATTACGTGACAAAGAATTAGACTTCTATGCCAATCTGAAATTGCTTTTTTCACTTAATTTTAAATCTGATATTAGACTTCTAACTCATTTAAAAAATTATGAAAACAATGAAAACATATTTCAAATTTTTAAGAGATAAACAATTAAAAGACGAGAAATTACATATCTGTACATAGCTGCATAGCATTAATAATTTTTTTCATTTATATATAATTATTTTAATTTTATATACATTAAAAATGAAGGAAAAAGTATGATTTTTTCTGTCTCTTTTTGCTAAGGGAATGGTGACAAAAGTGTAAGGATGAAATAAACTTTCAGAAATCAGATATATCTTTAGAAATGGCACTACTACCAATGAATTCTTACCAAAGATATCCTCTTCAGTAAAGGGATTCAATAAATTTCGAAGGAAAAAAAAAAAAAAAAAAAAAAAAAAAAAAGGCTGGGATTCAATTCCTGTGTGTTTGTCTTTTCTGTAGGTTAATAATACATCTCTTGATCAACTGAAGGCCTTACCTATTTTTCCCCCCTGCCAATTTAGCAGATATTATTGGTATGATTAAATAAAATATTGCTGGAAATAACCTAATAATTCAATATTTTTAGTTTGGAGTTATCTAAAGTTGTTTGAACCAAAGGTTTGAACAAAGTTGTTTGAGTATTTTGTTTTCAAACATCTAACACAAGTTTTTCTTTTTTTTTTAAATGGATAAAACTGGGGAGGGGAGAACTAAAAAATTCTTACTGGCTACAAATCTTGATTAACTTGCGAAGGTAAGACTAAGTGATGCAATCAAGTTAATCCCACTGTGGAGAAATAATTTCTTTTGCTATTCCCCCCACCACCATGTAAGAAAAACGCATTACTTTAGCTTTAAAGATCTAAAATTATATAGTAGCTTAATATTATTGTTTGCTAGTAAAGTTCAAGACAATGGCTTAGTTTTGAAGAAAGTCATAAATTAAAATACAGAGGTTTAAAAATTGTTCTCAGTTCTAATTTTAGTTTTTAAAGCATAAAACTGAATATTATTACATTTTAAAACAGAACAGGAAAACTGGGAGGTTTTCTGAAAGCACAAGCCCATTTTACTCATCTTTAAATTAGTACCTGATAATAAAATAAGAGTATGGCTATAATGTACTACTCCTTTACATAACATTTTGGAAGTTAACATTTCTAAATATAACTAAGCCAACTGGCCTAAGTAATTGGTCAGTTGTAAAATGCTGAAAAAACTGTACATATGATCAGCCTATGCAATAAAAATATAAATAAAATATATATTTAAAAACCTTTTTAATTTACCTAATTTTAGGCCAAATTGGAAAATAAAAAATTACTTTTTCTAGCTACCACATCATTCATGTTATGTGCAAAAGAATTCGTTAAGACTCCAAAATCTGTATCAATCTAAAACTGCTTTTTTTTCGACTTAATTTTAAATTTGATATTGTCTTGTTTTTCTTCCAAATAGATATATAGAAATAATTTTCTTCATTAACTTGAACAACATTACTGATATTATATTGAATAGATTAATAATAATATACTATCTAAATATACATGTTATTAAATTCTAGATTTTTCCATTTTAAAATATCTCTAAAACTCTTGTTTGTTAACATTTTTTACAGGTCCCTTTAGTTTCTCTTCACCAGTAATTGGCTAAAGTGAAATATCAGATGCATGCCAGTTTTTGATGATTTTATTGTAAGGTAATAATGATTTTAATATGGTAACTTTACTTTCTTCATTGTTCGATAATGATATTATTCTGACAACTTATTTTTTTTTATAAGAGTAAGGCTACAATATACTTACTCCTTTACATAATATTTAGAAAGTTACTACAGCCATTTTTAAATAAAACTAATTATATATAAATGTAAAACATTACTTTCTACAGATCATTTCAAAACAGAATATGGCTATGCAGATACATATACAGTAAGACCCCGCTTGTAATGCGAAACAGCGCTAAACGAGGCTATCTTTACATGTAAATATTGGGGTTAGGGGAAGATGGCTAGGAAATTGGTTAGGTATTAAATTTAAAAAGTATGTTTTTTTAATAAAAATAAAACCAAACATTTATTTCTTAAAGCCCAAATTAATACCACATTATTATTTCTTGCAAAAATAAAAACAAAATATAAATAACAAAACGAATATTCTTAAAAAAAACAAACAAAATTCTCAGTCATATTTAGTTAGCCTTCCGTGTTTTCAATGTTCTGCCTTTTTGTGACAAAAGCATCTAATGTTGTTTGCCTTTTTCTTTTGCGTTGTTCTCTTAAAAGTTCTTCATAAACGGACAGAGCATCTCTAACACCATGCCTTACTTTTGAGCTCCTGTCAAAATTCAGATAATTTTCAATGGATTGATCCATTTTTTCAGTTATGGTAGACAAACTCCTTTTTACAAACACCATCGAAAGTTCTTTTTGCTCTTCTTCTGAATCACTGCTGTCAACATTTTTGTTTTCTTCTTGTTCAGTTAATTCCTTGAGCTCATCATTAGAAAGACTAGCCACTGCTTCTTGAATTATTTCTTCAACATCTTCCACACTTACCCCTTCAAAATATGTCTGTACAATACCGCACCAAACAAGAAATACAAGTACACTCTTTCGGATATGTAGTTGAAACCTATCGCTGCATAATATTTCGGGAAATCCCCGTATGCTGCGAGCGATTTCGTGGAATCCCCGGGTTGAAATAAAAGAGCGCTAAACCGAAACAGCGCTAAACGAAGCAGCGTTAAGCGGGGTCTTACTCTATAAATGATTGTGCTACTAATATAATAGATAATATCAGAAAGCTATTTAATTCCTAATTTTAATTTTAATAGATATTATTAATAAATATGTTACAGATTTAGATCATAATCCAGGATCCAGAAATTCAATTTTTTAATTTTACTAATTTTCCACAATGAAACAGAATAATTTTTTGAAGCAGCATAATGAATTAATTACAAAATGAAGCACAAATAATGAATACTTTTAAGTATTCTCTGCAAAATACAGCAAAATTACTATATTATAAAAAATATAATTTATTTTACTCTCTAAATCATTGAAAAAAGATAGGCTTTTTTTTTTCTCCTGAAAGAAATAAATTATGGAAAAAAAATGTTCATTTTGAAAAACAAATGCATGTATAGCTACAGCATTGTACCATTCATAATAAATGTAACTTATGTGGTATTTCTTTCAAAATATAACTGAGCAGTTAGAAACTGACCTGGATTGAAAACATTTTTCATTAATATAGTTACTATAATATACAACTACTCAGTGTAATGACTTGTAAGTCAGTCATTTCTGAAAAGAAATTCTCTTTCTG